TAGTTCTGAAGGAAAAAGTTAAGGATTTTTAAATAAGAACAGTTAAGAATATTCCCAAAAAATGCTTCTTAGTGGTATAGCAGTCTTAAGAAGAATTCAAATTCTTGAAAAGAATCTTAAAAATAATTCATTTAATGAATTTATTGGGTTGTTTCAAGTTAATTGTTGTAAATATAATATAATTTATAATGTATAATTTTTAAATTGAATTGTTTAATTTTAATTAAAAAATCTTTTGTTTAATTATTTTATTTACGGAAAAAAGTTAAGAATGTTTTGTATTCCCAAAAACACTTCTTGACTATTATACCAAAACTTAAGAAGAATTCGGAGTCGTCTTAAATTCATTTTATTTAAAAAATAATTATTTAATGAATTTGTTAGGTTATTTCAAATTAATTGTTGTAATTCTAATATAATTTAATTTATTGATTTTTAAAAAAATTATAATTTATTTTGTTTTTTTTATGATTTAATCAAGTTTAATTATAGAAAAATTTAGTTTTGATTTTTAATCATTTAATTAAAGTTTTTTTTTTTTTATTGTTTAATTATAATTTAAGGAAGAAGGTTAAGAATATTTTGTATTCCCAAAAATACTTAATTATAACAAAACTTAAGAATTCAAATTCTTGAGAAGAATCATCTTAAATTGTCCCTTGTCATCATTTAATTAATTTATTGGGTTGTTTCTAATTAATTGTTTTAAATATTGTTCTTAAGAAAATATTTGAAAACTACTTGGGACTTATAAAATTTCTTAACTTTTGTGAATCTGGCCCATGGTCCCATAAATAGTGTAAAGCTAGTGAAATGCATCAGTGTGTATGCAGTCTGAGGTTAAACTAGGTCATGATGCTTCAAAGAAAGCGTTTCTCAGTTTTTGACCGCTGTTTTCTCGCTTCATTCAGGCGGAAGAGACCTTCACGAAGACGGCCATGGATAAGGTACAGAGCAGCTACCTGCGCTCGCTGCAGGAGATCGGGGAACTGTTGAAGAAGAGAGCGGACACGTTAAAATCCCTCAAAATCTGAGCGCTCCATCGATCCGGTCCCCGACCCGCACGGCGTCCTCGGCCCCTAACGCAATCCTCCCGTCTCAGTCTGTGAACTCGGCTGGTCTCGTCTCCTCTTCCTATTTAACCGTCTCATTACTCACGTACAGACACAGGCACAACAACGGCTTCAGCACAAACATCTGCGGTGCTCTGCACAGCACTTTTAAGTGGAAACGAAAACTTCATGTCCCTAGCAAAACTACATAGGCAAATGAAAATAAGCAATTTTAGAAGTACTTCTATAAATTATTGTACATAGTGTGAAGATAAAGAATATCAATGAGAACTCCTTGGCGAATTAAAGTGAACTACTTTGTCCTTTGTCGATGTCTTGCGTTATTGTCTCTCTCTCTTCCCAGCCGTAAACCTTGCGATTGACGGTTCGTTTTCAGACGACACTCCAAAGCAAAACGGGCCCTAACGGTGCCGCTCCGTGTCGCAAGTAGCCAACTTCCAGACTGACACTCTCTGCGACGCGTTTACGTAGCCGTTCGCGATTCACAACCAGCCAAGAGCTACGCTTCGTCCCGAGGAGATTTTGCGCAAACTTTCGGCGGGGTGGCGCGAGTATCCAGATGCTTCGGGTGCTTCTATTGCGATATTTGTTTGTATATTACAAATGACTTTACTTGAGCCACAAGCGTACGAAATGTAGCTTTCCCGACTGTTTGATTGGAATCGCCACCATGTGAAAACAAATAGCATCGAGTTCTGCTTGAGGTTTGGGAAAGTTTGTGTATGTTTGTTAACGTGATGGTCAAAGACGTTTATTCAATCATGTTTAGAATTAATTTTATGCTTAAATGAATCGATTGGTTGGGGCGTGTTGTTTACTTTGAAAAATTGTGATTGCACTGATGATGATGTTTTATAATCGTTGCATACCAAAAATGTCCAAATTAACCTTGCGTTAAAGGAATAGTTCACCCCAAAATGAAAAATCTGTCATTTACTCACTCGTGTCGTTCCAAACCCATTCGAAATTCGCTCCTCTTCAGAACACAAATAGTTATATTAATCGATTCTGAGATATTTCTGTCCCTTCGTTGAAAGTCTTTTCACCCAAAACACAGACGCTTTAAAACATTGGTTAAAAATATTTTAAAAAATAATTAATGTGAATCTAGGGGTTTGATTCAAGTCTTCTGAATAGACAGGATCGTTTTATATGATGAACAGATTTAATTTATGCTTTTATTCACATACAAACATTGAAGGTGAACATAAACAGAAGCTCAACCGTACTTGCTTGACGCGCGAGAACGAATCTCATTGGTAAACATTGTTTGGCGATGAATGTTTTTGTGAATAAAAGCCTAAAATAAATCCTTTAATCTTCAGAAGACTTGGAATGAACTCACTCGACTCGAAAGTTTTGAAGTGTCTGAGTTTTTGGTGAACAGACTTTCAATGAAGGGACAGTAACATCTCAGATTTGATTAAAAATATCTAAATTTGTGTTCCAAAGATTTTGGGTAAATTATGAGCGAATTTTCTGTTTGGGGTCAAATAACTTCAATGTCGCAGTAGAGCTGAAGATAGGGTTATATAAGTGCAACTTGTTTACAATGTTTCCGAGCGCCATTATGAATCATGTTTCTAGCGTGTATTATACGGTGTGCTGCAATCTACAAGCTTTCACTGCTTTAGACCTGCTTGGGGAGGGTGGAAAGACGCTTTTCTCTTCTTTATTGTTATTTTGATCCAACACGACGGGATACGGCTCTACTTGCGTGGCTCGGGGACTGAAGGGCTCATTGCGTGTCCTCACCGTCACAAAGCACGAGGACGACGGGCGCGTCTGGACTGAGGAGGTCGTTTGGAGATGGTCAAGACGTGTCGGAAGGCTGTCGGCGGATGAATTCTTTTATTAGGGAAATTGAGAAAATACAAACAAAAACACTGGAATGTGAAAAGGAGTTTTTTAAATAAAAAGTAAATGTTCCACATGCCGTGTCTGCTTTTTTTTGCACCCTTTCATGCAATATGAAATGTATAAGCAAGGTTTGCTTTCACACGGCTTGCTTTATCTTTAAAGTCAGCATGAAATCAAGAGATTTACTTTATATATGTTCCTGGTCTTACTGTGAGTGATTTAACATTGCATGATTTCATGTTGACTTAAAAATGATTTGATCTTGAAAAATTGGTTTGCTTTTGTATTTTGTTTGCTTGCAGGATTTTGACCTTTCCAGACAAATATTAATTTCTTAAATAATTATTCCAATCATATATACAATTATGTAATAAAAAATGTTATATATATATAAAAAATAAATGAAAACTAAATTTAAAAGTATATTTTATAACTCATAATTACATAATTGAATCGCTTTTTGAATTTTACAATTCAGTATAAGCAAATTTCCTCCATCTGTTTACAATTTTTTTCTCCTGTAAATGTCCTGTTTCACAGAAATAATCAAGTTATGGGGGAAAATTAGTTGCCGTTTCATGTTGACTTCAAAAAATATTTGATCTTAAAATATTGGCTTGCTTTTGTATTTTGTTTAATAGGCTACAGGATTATGACCCTTCCAGACAAATATTTAATAATTAAAATGTTATATTTTATATAAATGTACATAATTTAAATATTATATATAAAAAATTAAAACTCAATTTAAATGTATATATTAGTTATAATCACGTAATTGAATTGCTTTGATTTGATTTCTTCAACTTTTCACATTTTTTTTATTTTATAATATCTTAGAAAATACATTTAAAAGTGCATAATTATATTAATACATAACAATTTATACTTGCGTGAATCAATAGCTTTCTGAGCTTTATTACAGTCGATCACTTGCAGATGAGTATAAATGAGTAGTGCCGTAAACTGAATACTACCTGTTGCAAAGTTGTTCGTGAATTCTTTGTTTTTCAATTGTAAACTCCAAATATGGCTCACTCCGAAATCAAATTTAATGTCAAGCACGTTAAAGGTTAGCAGACATGTCAGTTTATTAAGTAACTGTTGCATGCAAATGTTGCATGCATTTGCCTGTCAAAAAGTTATTAATAGCTTCCAGCAATCCCACTCATCTGCAACCGACGTGAAGGGTGTGGAAACCAAAAAGATGACTCGATACAAAGAGTGACTGTGTATAACTTTCTAAAACTAAGTGGGTGGATGTGTTAGAGAGTAAAACAAGACAAAAGCCACATGATTTTGTGCGGTGTGCGTCTATTAACCAAATGACATCATGAAGCGGACGAGCCCTTTCACTACAAAAGCGCCTTTCTGTGCATCAAGTCTTTGTGACTGAGTTACAGTAGCACACGTGTGACCTGCGATTATAATACTGCTCACAATGAGGAGAATCTCACCAAACATGTCAGATTTCAGCCTGAATCCAAAGAAAAAATAATAAAAAAATTTGCATAAAATAAATGCAGCCTATATATATATATATATTCATGAGTTACACCATAACCCAATTCCCATTGTAAAATATTTTTTAATAACTAAAATGCAAAATATATGGTGTTGTTTAAATTGTAGTTTAAATGTAAGTATTTACTAGTATTCACTGTACAGCTAAATGTATTACTATAGAAGTTTTAGACATTTATTTACAAAAAAACAAAAACAATTGCGAGATGTTAACCCTGAATTCAGAGGAAAAAAGTCCGAATTGGGATTTGAGTGTATATCTCGCAATTCTGACAATTTTTTTTCCCTAAAGTCACAATTACTTTTTTGTTTTATTCCATGATGGGGGGAAAAAAACTGAAATGTGAGATAAACTCAGAATTCTGAGAAAGAAAATCAGAATTATGAGACGTAAACTCAGAATTGAGAGAAAAAGAACAATCTTGCAATTTTGGCTTTTTTTCTTCAGAATCTCGCAATTCTGACTGTTTCTCACAATTCTGAATTTATCTCACAATTCTGTTTTTTTTGTTGTTGTTTTTTCATGCCGGAAACAAGCTTCCATACATTACAAATGGGGCGTTTAATGCAATAAAAAATAAAATAAAATAAATAACAGAAATGAGTTTACAAAAATAATCCAGATGCATTACAGCAAAATATAATTTCTTTTTTTTCCTCTAAGTGAAACATGACATGAATGTGTGAGATTCATCTGTCAAGAGTTGCAGAAAGCAATATTCAATCATTTCTACAAACAAAGTAAATCAAAAAATGACATCTTCCAGCTATGAGGACACTATATAAAGATCCGAAAATAAAATTCTGTGACAAGAACAGCACTTTGTTTTCATATAAAACAGGTTGAGCTACATTTCTAAGCAGGTGTCCTAGTGCGAGATATTAGTGAACAAATCATAATATATTAGAGCTTCTAACACGAGGAAGGATGATAATTCAAACTTCTTAATTTCCTGTGCAACATCTCTGCCATCCATTAAGCACTGGATATACTGAACACAACGTCTTTCGCTACTTTCCCCTCTTGGATCGTCCTTTCCGGCCGCTCAGTTTGCCGGGGCCGTGGGCCGAGGGCCCGGGCTGTGGGGCGGCAGGGGCCGAAGCGATGTTGATCTGACCCTCTTGGATCTCTTGCCGGGCGTCTGCCGGCATGCGGTCGATCTGCTGCCGCGTCTCCAGGTAGAACATGACGTCTCGCAGCTGCTCCTGCAGCTCGGCGATCTGGCCGTCTTTATTGGCCGCCGCCTCGTGAGCCCGCCTCTCCTCCTCCTGCAGCTGCGCCTGGAGCTGCGTCTGATTGGCTCGCAGGCATCGGTTCATCTCCTGCTCCTCCCGCAGCTCTTGACTGAGCTTCACCACTTTGTTGTTCAGCTGTGAACATCTGCAGAAAACAGCGCAAAAATGTCAAAAGACTGTGTAAACAGTGTATTACTGTTAAAAACGGCCTTTAAATAAACAATATTTACTACTAATAAATACACTGCAATAACTATAGCCACTACATTCAAGAAATAAAAAAAAACATAAAAGTTTAAAATAAAATAAAAAATCACAGAAAAATTCTGAAATCTTCCACCGAAGGAAATCTCAAGATTAATTTATATTTTATTAATTAATATTTTTTTATTTGTATTGATTTATATTTATTAATAATATTACTATTATTATAGTACAAACATGAACTTAAGTCACCAATATTTTGGAAACTATGTTTACCATGCAGTGTTATTTTATTATCATTCAGTTTTCATTTTTATTAAGGTTTTAGTCATTTCTATTGCATTTGTATGTGTTCTTTATTATTATTATTATTCCTCCCGAATGGGAGTCTATGGCAGCCCTATGAAGGGAACATAGGAAAATGATGAAATTTGGCACACTTGTAGTGATGGTCATGAATAGTGATCTGACCAACTTTGGGGTCTCTAGGACCAACTCTATAGCGCCACCACCAGTTCAAAAATTCACTTTTCAAACGATTATTCGGATGATTATGAAAAATTCATTTGAAAGGTAAAGTAAATTTTACTTCTTCTCAATGGATTGTTTTTCTTTGACGAGTTCGTTGAGTTTCCGCTCCAAACTGTCACACTTGTCAATCGTCTCCTTGAATTTGGCCTTCATGTTGTTGATCTGAAACCCACACAAACATAAAGAAGCTGGATCACTGATGTTCATACAAGTTATAGCAGGTTATTATGATCTTTAACATTATGCTATTATGGTTTTGTTCATGTAAACTGTGCGGTCCTCACCTCCTCCGCTGTGTCTTTCTCCAGATGAACTATTTTATTCTCCCAGTAAATGCGCTGAGAATCCAGCTGGCTGGTTAATAAATATGAATACTGAAGGAAAAAGATATGTTAAAAAAATTATAAGGTGATGAAGAGGATCCAAGACAACACACACACACACACACACACACCTCGAGCTGCAACGCATCGATCTTCTCATCCTGACACGTGTCGCCCTCACACTCGTACTGCACCATCTTCCCGTCGGTTTTACTGGCAACAAGCCGATGGACGTAGTTATCTGATCAACATAAGGACAAAGGCTCAGAGTCACAATTCTTACAAACTATTTGAAATATAAAAAGTTTGAAAAATCTAATTTAAAAATAAAACATTCAAATATGAAACAACATTCAATGCATTTAACCTGCATATTTTATGAGTGAAATAATAACGGGGGAACTTGATTTTATCCAGTTGTGAAAACAAAAATGAACTTTTGAATTTAAAAATTAAAATTAAAATTCCAAATGGCTCTGGCTAGTCTGATTGGACCAGGTTTATAATAGTTAATTGAAACTAAAATTAAAACTAAAACCATAAAAACCATTTTAATTTTTATATGAAATAAAATAAATAATAACGGAAATAACTTATTTTATTTCAGTTAGTTGCCAAAGTATCATTTCTCATTTTATTTTAGCTTAACTTGAGGTACTAAAATAACTCAAACCTAAAACTGAACTGAAAATTAAGAATTATATAGACATATTTAAAAAATAAAACTAATAAAAAATTTAAAAACACAACAAAATTACTATAACTTTAAAATTTTAATGAAAACAGAAAATATTAATAAAATAATTCAAAAACATTTCATAAAAACAATGTAAAACATGATAATAATCCATAATCTGACATATTTTAATATGAATGATCAGCAATAAATAATGTAAGGCAAGACTTAATTTTATCCAGTATGATTTGATATTATTCAATATTAATCACCAGAAAAGTTCATTTCAGTGAAAATATAGAACTATTATTTTCAAGCATGCGACTGCACATCAACAGAATTCCACTAGCAGCTTTGCTCTCTGTGACATCACACACCTCCAGCGTAGTCCCAGACCCTATGATTGGTCAGCTGCATGGCGTAAGTGTGCTGCGTTTCCTCAAAGTGCTTGTAGGCATGACGACTAACGTAGCGTCCGCAGCCGATATGACCGCAGATAAGACAGATCCACAGATTCTATGAGACATTAACAAATATGGCTTAAATATAATATAATGAAACGTCCATCTATGTGAGTGAGACCAGGGCTGCAGCCTGCAACAAACAATTATTTAAAGGGGTCATATGATGCTTAAACCGCATAAACACATTTCATTACACCAAATAATGTTCTTTTTAACAGCATCATACGACCCCTTTAATCAATTAATCTGTCGATTAAGTACTCGATTAATCAGTTTTATTTTCAGTATTTTAGTTGTTTGTTTTTTTTTTAAAGGTCCATACAGTGTGTAAACTGTGCAAACTGAAAAATGTATCTATGTAGGATATATGCTATACATTATATGATAAAAGAAAACAAAGAAGAAGAAGAAAAACAAAGACTATTTCTATGGAAGACGAGAGCATCAAAACGGAAGTTAGAATCTATAATGGCGGCGCTCATCGGTTACTCAGGAAAAAGGTGGATAGTAATCATATTACATTTATATCCAATTAAAACAGTCCCTTTATATTTACTGCTCTGATAAAATTACCACCATCTGTGTTACATGCAGCATTTTAAACCTACATTTAACAAAATGTATAATTAACAGCATGAGTATCGTATGAGCACTTAATGTAGAATATTCCCATGTTTAGGATAACTTGAGTCAGGTGCCTTTCCCGCAGCAGATCGCTGTGCATTTCGCATGTCTTTTGTCCAAAGAAATGTGTTATTCATTACTGTAACGATGTTTTCTGTGTGCGATTAATCGATACTCAGCTTCTTTTCTGTTGATTTTATCGATTAGTTGTTGCAGCCCTAAGTGAGATCTGAAAGATTTGTTACCTCTTGCACTCCACACTCAAAACACTTGTTCTCCTCCACGGGTTCAGGAGTCTGACAGTATCTGCACACAGGACACCTGCAGAAGAAGTGCACACTATTAGTCTTCTTAAAGGGATAGTTCACCCAAAAATTCTAATTTGCTGAAATGTCCTTATCCTCAGGCCATCCAAGATGTAGATGAGTTTGTTTCTTCATCAAATTTGGAGAAATGTAGCATTACATCACTTGCTCACCAATGGATCCTCTGCAGTGAATGGGTGCCGTCAGAATTTTGGCCAAAGCAACGGTTTGAAGTTAAAAATGTTTTAATGATGGATTTGTTTTGGATTACTTGTGGATTATTGTGATGTTTTTATCAGCTGTTTGGACTCTCATTCTGACGGCACCCATTCACTGCACAGCATCCATCGGTGAGCAAGTGATGCTACATTTCTCCAAATCTGATGAAGATACAAACTCATCTACATCTTGGATGGCCTGAGAGTGAGTGAATGTTCAGCAAATGGATGAACTATTCCTTTAAAGACAATGTGACGTCAAAAAGACCATTTACTTTCTTCATTAATGTCCCTTCTTCAGTCTAAATCTAATATTTATGTGTCATAGTTTGAGTTAGTAGTCTGTTCATGTCAATAACTCATAAGAATGAGCGTTAGTAATAGTGATGCATGCTTTAGCAAACTCCACTAATAATATCATTACCTACTTTTCATGCCCAATCAAATCCTGATGAATAAAATAAAGTCCCACCCTACATAATTTCCCACTGAATATCGGTTCACTCAGAAATATGTCACATGAATGCATCACACGTGCCAATAATTCATGTAAACACTTAAACCTGAAACCATCTCAACAGCAGCGCTTTGAACTCCCATTGTGTGCATGAAGCATGACACTGTGACGTTCATCTCACAGGTCAGAGGTCAACTATGACAATTACACAAAAACACAACAGCGAGAATATAGAACGGCCCAGCAAACTTTTATGACATGTCAATGAAGAATCAGGATGAAAAGGTTAAAAGTGACGCACGTAAATAACATGAGAGCAAAAGATGAGCATAAACAGTGTCATGCACTGATGCATCATGGGAGAAGAATGTGACGTGAGGGTGTGGGTGAAATTTTCCAAGGCGTGAACAAAATGAACTAAAAAAATATTAACTATATATATATATATGTGACCCTGGAGCACAAAACCAGTCTTATATATTTGTAGCAATAGCCAAAAATACATTGTATGGGTCAAAATTATAGATTTTTCTTTTATGCCAATACATACATCAATGGAAAGCTTATTTATTCAGCTTTCAGATGATGTATAAATCTAAATTTTGAAAAATAGACACTTAAGACTGGTTTTGTGGTCCAGAGTCACACACACACACACACATATATATATATATATATATATATATATATAAACTTACAACTTATGGTTGATAAATGTAAAACAAATTAAAATGATTTAAATATCAAATGAATATAATAAGTCAATATTAATTATATTATAATTAGGGTAGGGTCAGACTTGAATTTATCCAGTAGGATTAAAATTAATATTACTATTTAATATAAATGTTCCCAGTCCACACAACCTTGGATATATTACCAGAAAAGCTATTTTATATTAAAATATTTAAAAAACAAATATTTTTTGTTTTTCAAATTATTAGAAAGTAAGTCATTTTTATAGCAGGTTGTGAATGACAGCACTCACGATGCATCCTCCCATCTCTGCAGACACTGGCTGTGAAAGCTGTGGTTGCACAGGGTGGTCAACACGCCGTTGACGGACTCGTCCATGCGCTCCAAACACACGGTGCACTTGGGCAGCTCAGTCAGATCCATCACAGGTAAACTGGCCCCCTGTTTATAATGAAGAGTTTGAGATCATTCAAAACATTCCAGAACACTGCAGCTATTGTTATGCATGTAAATCAGTGCTGGAAACACAACGCGTGTGTGTGTGTGTGTGTGTGTGTGTGTGTGTGTGTTTCAACAGAAACAGCTAGTCAACAACAAAACAGGTTCATCCTGGTCACTCAAGCAATGAATCGGTCTAAAACAATGTTACACTGCCAAGAATTTGAACACTTAGTGTCGTTTCTTCAAATCATAGTAGTTGCATGCTATTAATTTTAGAACCTATTGTAAATAATTACATCTAAAACATAAATGTGGTTGTTCTGAGTATTTTAAATATGTTGATGTGTAGTTGATAAGGTGTTTGGGTGGTTGCCAATCATTTTAACACTTAGCGTTAGTGCTTTGTTCAAATCATAATAATTGCTTAACAAACCACACATCAATGGAAAGCTTATTTATTCAGCTTTCAGATGATGTATAAATCTCCATTTTTTAAATTGACACTTAAAGGGATAGGTCACCCAAAAATGAAAATTAGCTTGTTATTTACTCACCCTCAAGCCATCCTAGGTGTATATGACATTCTTCTTTCAGACGAATACAATCGGAGTTATATTAAATATTAATAATGTCCAGGCTAATCCATGATTTATAATGGGAGTGGATGGTAGCCCAAAATTTGAAGTCCAAAAAATTGCACCCATCCATTATAAAAGAAGCCCACACGGCTTCGGGGGGTAAATAAAGGCCTTCCGAAGCAACGCGATGCGTTTGTGTAAGAAAAATATCCATATTTACAACTTTATAAACCTTAATCTCTAACTTCCGCTAACTGTCGTACGCTCGTGCACGAGAGAGTGGCGTCCAGCGGATGACGTAGGACGGAGGCAAACACGGTGACAAACGCGGAAGTGACGAACGTGGAAGCGCAGAGGAGAGAGCACAACAAAACACCGGTCACGAATTAGTAGTACAAAACGAGGATTTGTAAAGAAAAATGTC